CCACCAAGGATGACTACAAGCAGTGGGCAGCTGTGAACACAAAGCCAATCAAACCCAATCCTCATCTGACCCTGCCTGTTGAGCCTTTGGACTGCCAGACTACCACTAAGATCTGCTATGTGCCCCACCCGCCTGCCACTACTAAAAGTTACAAACCCCCCTGGATTGGCCTTCGAAGAAACATCCCTGTGGAGGGTCAGACGACTTACTCCATTAGCTTTACTCCCAAGGAAATGGACAGGTGCCCGGCATCATACACAGAGCCCCCCGGCTACATCTTTGAGGAAGTGGATGCTATGGGGCACAGGATATATAGGTCAATGTCTCAGACAGGTTCCAGGCAGGACTGCTGTCTTTCTGTATATGATGCAGAAAAGTCTGGCCAGAAGGAACTGGAAGTGTCAGCCTGACTTTGAAAATTTATTTAACAATTGCACAGTACCCTTAAAAGCAGACACCTAAAAATTACTCATTGAAGAATTTCTGAAAACAACAACCAAAATTAAAACACCTACCTCAGAGTGAAAAATGTTATTACCAACTCCAAGATATTTGAATAACATGAGAATCACTTTAATAAAGGAAAATGATATGTACTCATTGGCTGACTGGCCCCCTTTAGCTCCACCCCTTCAGGTCCCCTTTGTTCATGGAATCAAAGATGATCTCAGTGACATTTCTGTGATCCTGAGCTAGTTTAATTGTTGTACGAGTTGATATTAACCTTCCCAAGTTTGAAGTGCCAAAGAATAAACATTATTTTGGGACACTGAATTTGCAGGTTGGTTTGTTGACCCTTGCATACTTTCCATGCAGAGAGTAGTCTACACACAACTTTTGGAGAGATTTCATACAAACACCTTATTACATCTCAACAACAGAAGAGGTTCCTTGGGCTCAGACTGGAGTCTTGTTTGGGTTTTCTGTGTCCAGGACTCCTTCACAGGAAATCTGTCTACTTATTTTCTGCATGACATACCAGCAAGGATAACGACGTCAGTTGGGGGGTGTGGTTCATGTCAGTCATGGGCGAAGGAAAGGGGAAGGGTCCTATTGTAATCCTATTGATATGTGGACCTGCCAAACTTTTGCCTCCTCTCACATTAGTGCAGGCTCTGACTCCAGGGGGAAGGGGAGGAAGGGCCACATGGCAACCAGGCCATGGAGAGCTGGCTTTAGAGCTGTGAGCAGAAACTGTGGGATCTTCTAAGTGCTCAGAGCCCAGAATGGATTGCCTCAGGCAGTGAAGATTTCTGGGAACTCTAGGCCTGCTTATCATAAAATAATGACTGTGACCAGATCTGTGACAAAGCTTGACACAACAATGAGTCAGGCTCTGCCTTGTACATTTCTTGGACCTGAAGTTTTTAAAACCAACTTTTGATGTTAAGGTCAAGTTGAACTAGGCAGAATTGAGGAACAGTGTTCCAAGGGGGCTCTCTTTCCAGGCCTAGATGGGCAGAGGATGCAGACTGACACCTGTCTTTCCACATTGAATTTGTAGGCTTGTTGGTTCACCTTCATGTGCTTTCCATGGAGAGCACAGAATCTCTAAATACCCTGTGGTCCTGGGAACTTGGGGATAGGGTGCAGGAGGTGAGATTTCAGCTTGAAGACATTGGCTTAGGCCAGAACTTGGTTTTTCAGTGAGGAGCCTATGTCTTCTACCCAGTCTGTCCATGCCTCTCATGCCTGTCCTGGGCTATGTAAGTTCCCCTCCCTTGTACTTTCACCACGAGCTTAGATTTTTTTTTGATTTTTTTTATGAGACATGGTTTCTCTGTATTGTTTTGGAGGCTGTTGGTCCAGCCCGGCCTCGAACTCACAGAGATCTGCCTGCCTCTGCCTCTCGAGTGCTGGGATTAAAGGCCTGCCCCACCACCGCCCGGCTGAGCTTAGATTTTTATCATTGGGTTCAGATCTGTAGCATTGATTTCTCTTGCTGGCCTAAGGTCTGGATAGCTACCTTTATGGGGTAGGGAAGCCCAGAGTAGTTAAGCATGGTCCAAAGCCACACAGAGAAGGAAAAGAAGCAAAGTCAAGATATTATCTACGTTTTCTGACTTCAGATCTGCATCCTACAGTGCAGGCATCATTCATCTGTGACTTTAGATTTCTTGGCTCCAGGAACCACATCAAATCATATAGCTAAGCTTCCTGGAACCTACTAAGTTAATGGATACTATAAAGGTTAGTGTGACCCATGGCTTAGATGTGAAATGTCCTCTCAAAGCTCATGTATTGAGGACTTGGTATGCAGTGTGGTGGTGCTGAGAAGTGGGAGCCTTTGGGAAGTAATTGGATCCTGATGGTTCTAATTTCACCAATGGATTATTGGAGTCATAGCTGAATGGGCTGTTGATGGAAGGCAGTGGGAACTTTAGGGGCTGGAGCCTTGTTAGAGCAGTGGTTCTCAACCTTCCTAATACTGCGACCCTCAACTATACAATTATTTTTGTTGCTGTTTCACAACTGCAATTTTGCTACTGTTAGAAATCGTAATGTAAATATCTGTTTTTATGATGGTCTTAGGTGACCCCTGTGAAAGGTTGCTTGAGCCCCAGAGGGGTTGAGACCCGCAGGTTGAAAATTCTGCTGCGTCAGAGGAAACTAGGTTCCTGCCCTTGATGGGTTTATTTTGCCCCCAGTCCCTTTCTTTCTCTTTTTGCTTCTTAGGCACCCTGTAATGGCCAGTTTTGTTCCACTACACTCTCCCCACCGTTACGACTCACCACAGGGCCAAAACAGTGGAGCAATTGACTGTGGGCTGCAACCTCCAAAGCTGTGAGCTGAAATGCGTTTTCCTTCATTATGAAAAATTGTGATCTTGGCTCCCTGCTAGAAACAGGCCAACTGAAAGGCAAATATTCCTGGAAGGCTGAGGTACAAGGCCATTTTTCCTGGCATAAGCAAGATCTCTGGAACCAGAGCACATGGCTCTTCCTAAAATCTGAGGTGTTTCTACCTGGGACGAAACTGAACTCTACAAGAGATGAGCTTATGTGTATAAAGCAAAACCAACATAGTTGACTCCCTTAGGCAAACCTGACAGAACCAGAATAATCTGGGGAAAGATAACTTGGGCCCATGGAAATAGTGGCATAGTTCATGCTAAATTCTGAAGCCACCTTACTTCAAGGGACAATGGACAGAGTCCATGGGATGCTGTATCTCTCCTGGATTGAAAGTAATGAAGTGTCAGTAAATAAGAGTGGATTTGGGCCCTTATAAAAAAGAAAAAGAGTTTACTTTGGTCCTGTCCTGGTGCTTCACACCTTTAGTCACAGTTCTAGGGGGTCAGGGCAGGCAGATCTCTTGAGTTTGAGGCCAGCCTGATCTATACCCTGAGTTCCAGGCCAGCTCAAAACAACGCAACAATGACAACAGTAGCACCAAATCCCACACCCCAAGTCCCCCAAGCAAAAAAAAAATCCCCCAATTAAAAGGTTGCTCTCCACTCAGATACTTTGTCACAAGGACAATAGGGAATCTATAGTAACACAGATTTCATTTTTGTTGCATCTTCTTAAAAATTATTTTATCTAAAAATGTTTATGTAAATTCAGCAATCTACATTGCAGTTCCACATTTCCAGATATTTGCCATGCTGGTCATAGGTGTCACAGCTGGGTGGGACTATTAATTGCTTCTCTCCCTTGGCAGCTTGTATAGTACTTCCTGGTATTATGGAAGCTAAGCTTTATCTGTTTTTGTTAATACTGTCTTCACATTCCATTACTTTAAATGTGGTCCTGTCCAGGTAACTGTGGATTTAAAATTTTTTTTTCTTTTCGTGTGTGTGTGTGTGTGTGTGTGTGTGTGTGTGTGTGTGTGTGTGTGTGTGTGTGTGTGTGTGTCTCCCCTTCCCTCAGTGTAGTTGGATGATAGTGCTTGGGGAAACCTCAAGATTTTCGAATGCTTCTGATTGCAGGGAGGGAAAGATTCCTTTCAGCTGTGGTCTTGTCAAGAGCGGCAGGCGAGGCAGGTGGGGGCAAGCACAGTCCTAATTGCAGATTAATGGCTCCCTAGCCCCTCCAGCTATCGCCCAAGTCCACATCTGCGTATCAGGCTTGGGGAGGGGGTAGGCAGAGGCCCTTCTGAGTATAAATGCTGGAGTTGGGGGGTAGGAGAGGTGTTTTCTTTGGCAGAGCAGACCCTGAATTTGCACATAGCTTTCCAAGCAGGTGATTGGCCCCTCCCTATGTTGGTGATGCAGGAGGAGCGCTGGAGCCCATGAACCTTCCAGAACATGTGTTGCATTCAGGAAAAGGCATCAAAGCAATGGTAAACTGGACTTTTTCTTCAGTCTTGTCCTGAACCCAGGTGCCCCCAGTCTTTCCTCTGAGTCCTTAGAGACGGACACGAGAAATCCTGATGTCTCTTCCTTGCCAAGCCTCGGAGTGGCTGCAAACCAGGCTGTGGGTCTTTCTGAGGGGTTCAGGAAATCCCTCTCCTCTGCTTGGCTCTGTACTGGCGGCGCTGCTTCTGCTTACCCGCCCAGGGCCAGCACTGCGTCAAGACAAAGCAAGGTGTAGTTACCTCATGTTTCTCCAAATTCCCGTCCATTCCATTACAGAACCATAAATGCGGCGCCCACAAGTGGTCTTTCAGCACGCAGAGAGCAGCTTGAGAGTTAGAGGTGCACAGCATGCCTGAACAATGAATGAAATCTGACTTGTGTGCCAATGGATGACATAAACTAAGAAATGGAATTTTTCTTGGTACTATGGGTTCTCCTGGGTTAAAAAAAAAAACAACCGAAAAACCTCTACTTTATTTTACAGTTTCTAAAAACAGTTCAGTGCTTAAACTGGCATTCTTTAGCGAAGATTGCAACACTTTCCCCACAGTTGAGGTCACTTATTTGGAAACTTCAGCTGTTCAAAACCGAGCAGGAACCTGGAAACCAGCGGCCATGAAGGTGTCCAAATCACCCCTGAGATGGGTCCCAGGTGCAGCCACTCCCCCTTTACACAGTGCATCTGCGCATCTGCAGCGTCTGTCCGCCTCCCGACGACTCCTTCCCCAAAGACGGTGCCCAGGCACAGGGGTCTTGGGCTTTACAGGACGGAAAAGAGAATTCCTGAGGGGCAGAGATTTCATATGCAGGTCTGTTCCTCTGTAAATCCCATTGTGGGAAGGTTGGTATGTTGATCTTATCAAGGGCTTCTGGGGTCCTAAGCCCCTTCAGAAGTTGTTATCAGCACGCCCGCTTTCCTGTCAGGAGTTTCTCAGCCCACATGAGGCTTGGGGGCTATTAGCCCTTTAACCACAGAGTATGAGGGGTTACAGCTAGAGGGAGGCACATTTGTAACGACTGAGGAGCGGTAGCTGATAACTTGGCAGGGAGGCTAGAGAGCAAAAATATTTTAAAAGGTGGAAATCAAAAGTATAGCGGTTCAGGAATTATGGCCCCGATGTAATAAAGAGAAGTCTGTATATGTGCACACATATTTTATTAAGTCTGGGAAAAATATACTATGGGTTGTGCTTATGACCCCAATTTAGAAAAAATGAGTAAAAATTACACACATACATTTTTAAAGGCTGGAAAAATGCATCAACAGTGTTGAATAAATGAATTCCCATTTGTGTCATTTATCCAGAATAACAAGGGAATGGGGATTTGCAGTATTTTAATATTAGGTTAGCAGACAGGTAATGTGTATTCGTTTTTCCTAAGGTGTTTTCTTGTGGACTGTAAGCCCCATGGCAAGCTCTTTCCAAAGCAGTTCATTAGACTCTGGTGGGGAGTGTTTCCCGTGTAGCCTCCTGAAGCAGAGTCACATGCATGCTTATATTTTAAGTCTCCGAGATGCTGTAGAGTAAAGAAACCTTGTTTCACTTTGTAGGAATTAGCATGCCTACAATAATGAGCGCTCAAGGACAAAGACTGATTGGTTCGGGCAACTGAACAGTCTAGGACTTGACTGTTGGCCGTAGGTGGGGCTGGATGCGTGGAGGGCTCCGGTGACGCGATGAGGTCTTGTTCGCCATCTGCGTTGCTCTCTTTGGCAGGCCTGGTCAGTGTGAGCATCTCTAGGCCTGTATCCTCTCACCCAGAGGTTCCAGTAAAGATCCTAGAGTTAGTCTCTCCTGGCGTTAAGTCTGATTCCCAAGCTGACTGTCATGGCAAAGAAAATGTCTATTGTCCACGCCTAAACTGAGGTCCACCCCTGCACTGAGGAGTATGTGTGGGGTCAAACCATGTGAACCACATGAATAACACAAGGCTGGAGGTGGCGTGAGCTCTCAGGGGAGAACTGAAATGTACTTCCCAGGGAAGGGAGGGATGAATGCTGAGCAGACAGAAACATCATTTTTAAACGCTGACAATAAGTCCTTTTTATTGTGTAAAACCTATTGGAACACACATCAAGAAATACTGCCAAGTACTCATCATAAATTTTTTCAAGCAAGTTTGGAAGACAATAAAATACATATGCCACGCAAGCATGTGGTGAGACTCCTTGGATGATCCTGGAACCTCACTGGATTCTGCAGGGCCTCAGGGTCCTCTCTGGATGTTGAAACATCCTGGCTGTTGACTATTTAGATTGTGGCTTCTTGATAAATGGGAGGTTAGGTACAGCCAGAGTGCAAGATGAAGAGAGCCTGGGAAAGTTTACGATGGGCCATGGGCTTGCGTGTGTCCTAGGTAAAACCCCGTGGACTACTGCAGAAGCACAGTTTGTGCCATCTCCCTTAATCCACACAGCTGCACCCTGGTCGAGCAGGCAGCGGAGGCTCAAAGAGGATAAGCAGCTTGGCAGATTCCTTGCGGGGTTGTTCAGGGGATGAGATGAAATGATTGTGTGCAAGAGGAACCCGTGGACAGAAAAGCAGTGCTTGAGTGGTCCCGTGGCAGAGAGATGGTGCTAGAGAGAGGGAAAGGCTGCCGAGATCGAGAGAGAGGATCTCTGAGATGTTTTAAATGAATGTAGTCTACAGATATGCTACTTCGAATCTGGTGGCTGTGTGTGTGTGTGTGTGTGTGTGTGTGTGTGTCTGTGCGTGCTCGCAAGCGCACCTGGGTCTATTACAACAAGTACAGTTAAGCATTCCAATTCCTCCTGTCATATGTGTGTATACATACACACGGGGGGGGGGGAGTGAGAGGAAGGGTGAGAGAGAGGGGAGGAGGAGGGAGGGAGAGAGGGGGAGAAAGCGGAGGGGGAAGAGGTGGGAGGGGTGAGAGGGAGAGAGAGAAGAGAGGAGAGATAGAGGCAGACACAGAGTAAAGTATTGATTAGGTTACAATAGGGCTAAATGCAAGAGAAGGTTATTTGAAGTGAGTGTAAAACAACAAAAAATATTTTGAGGCAAGGTCTTGCTCTACAGCCCAGGCTGGCCCTAAACTCACAATTCTCTTGCTCCAGCCTCCTGTGTGTGGGGATTATAGGAATGCACTATCATGCTCAATTCTAAGTTTTTAGTCTCTCTGTCCAAAACAGTTTTTCTTCACTGTAGAAAATGTCCCCTTGGGGCTTACTAGAGGTTAAAAAAGAAAAGATGTTTTCAACTTGTGATTTTATAGTAGTCACATGTATCATGTGTATCTTATTATAAAACCTCAAATGATGGTATTTTGGGAGTTTTGTTTGTTTGGTTTTTGGTTGACAGGTCCTTGAAGAGTCTATGTATGGCTCTCCTACTTTGTGGTGGGTCCAAGACTTGAGGCTCTCTGGTGTCTCTGGTGCCCTTTTGGACCTGTGTAATTCCTCTTCCAGAGTCCTGGGCTGCCGCAGTCTCCAATGCACTCTTGCCCTACAAGTGCCTCCAGGCAGTGCTTGGTTTCTCTGCTGCATTTTCCCACCACCCATTTTCTCAGCTTGTCAGGTGAGAGCCCAGTGTGACAGGTGGTGACTCAGAAAGCCCACCTTCTGCTTCCTGTATCTCACCACAGTCCCCATCTTGCATAATAACCTAGCCTCTGCTCCTGGAGTTCCATGTAGCTGTCTTAACTCCGGTCGTGGGATGTCCTGCTTATCTAGCAGCCCTCCCTCCCTCCCTCCCTCCCTTCCTCTGTCCTCCCTCCTGTCCTCTCTCCCTCTTTTTCTCTCTTCTCCCTCTGTCGACCATCCATACATTTATTCATTCCTTCAGAAAGTACATATTTGGTACCAGATTTTCTTCTGTGTGCTTTAGGCTCTCCCACTAGAAAAATCAGACTCGGATCTTGTCCATCAAACTTTCCATGGGATGATAGTTAAAGTCCAGTCATACAAATTCATCATAATAAGCAAGTAGACAATATTGTACAGCATAAAGTTAAGAGACACACAGTTCATTGTTAATATGAGTATAGGACTTGTCAGAGGCCATAAGCACATAGGGAAATGTAATCAGGATCGAGTTCAGGAACTCGTTATAACCAGCAGAGTGGTTAGGAAGGGGAAGGCATCACTGAGGAGATGTGAGAGGTTTAAAGGAGGGGGACAAGTGGGTATCCAGGAGCAGCTAGAGCAGAGGCTCTTGTGTGGTCATATTTCTGTCTAGGTGTGTCCAGGGAGAAGAAAGGCCAGTCAAGGGGTGCAAAGGCCAAGCTTAGAAATGGTAACATGGAGATCTGGCTTTGGGAAATTAGCATCGTGGTCATTCTGACGGCTTGAGGCTGTTGTGGGTAGCCTGGCTGAATCAGAGGCTGGTGACAAACGTATTGCACAGAGTGTTATGAGAGTCTTGTTGCATCTGAATGTGTTTCAAAGGCAGGCCATGGCTGTTGCTGATTAGAGAACAACCCCAAATCTTGTCCGGATAACCTGAAGGACATAGTTGCTATCCATTGAGATTAGGGAGGACTGAGGTAGGATATTTGGATGCTGGACAGCCAGTAGGCTTCCTCTGCAGAATGAGGAATGATGCTTCTGCATAAGATTGTGGTCTCTCCACTGCCCTGTTATGTTTGGAAGCTGTTCTCTGTCCCCACCCCCCAACATCCCCCTAGAAGAATAGTCCTTCTGGCATGATGTTTTTTCAGGCACCAGGGATGGGCAAGTGACTTTGGCTGTGCTGGGTGTCTGAAGAAGGAGAGATAGTGGGAGTTAGCCCAGATGGCAGGCTTACTTTCATTCTTCAACCATAAATCCAATAAGCAGATGAAGGCAGAGTGCGGGAAGGGAAGAGAGTGAAAGGAAAGGAGATAGCTTTGTGAGGAGTCTCCTTCTTTGGCAGTAGGCATTGTAGAGGGCTTGAAAGCAGGGATACCATAACCTGCATTGTCCTTTGAGGAAAGTTCTTTGTGCTTAGAAGTCTTTTTTTTTTTTTTTTGCAGAAAAGCAGGTGCAAGTTATTTTGGTAAAAGTGAGCAAGAGGCTGAAGTGATGTGTCAACACCTTCATGGCAGCAGCGGTGTGTGACCACAAGGCCACATTCTAGAGTAAGCATTAATGTTATCTGCCCAACCCACAGCCATTGTATAACCTGGCCCTTGAATCTGAGTGAGTCAGTGAGTCCTATTGTAAAGACGTAGTTGCTCCAAGGTCAGTGTTCCCATGGTAGCAACAGCGAAAACCTCTGGTCAGATCAAGCAAACAGAGTTGGGCTCAGAGAACCCAAACCAGTTCTAGCTTGATTTTGATCATGATGCTGCTAGATTCCCTGAGTAAGACTTAGTTCATTGCTGTTGTTAGACAGCAGCAGAATGGGTATTTACAAAAAAAGAGAAATGTATTTTCTCATGGCTCTGGAGGCTAGGAACCCTAAGGCCAAGGTGTCAGCATCCTTGGGGAGCTGCTCTCTGCCTCCAAGATGGCACTTTAAGTGATGTCTCCTTGTAATGGGAGGAGCACCGTGTTCTCACGTGGCAGAAGGTGGAAGCACAAAGGAGACTCAACAGCCATCAGGCTCCTTTACCAGGTCCCAGTCCTGTTCCCAGTCAGCAGGGGAGGAGCTGTCATTACCCGCCCAGTTCCCTGGAGTCTGAAAGGGCTCAGGGCAACCATAGCAGCAGGAATGTTAGTAGGACAGCCGTGTTACTGTACTCTTTGGAGGCCTACAGCACAACACGTTTTTACCTCTTTTATTATTAATGAAAATTGTGTATCAGACGACTTGTTCAGATTTATAACAATATCTGAAGTACTCAAAATGTTCACTTCTGGAGGATGGATTATGATGAAGTATTGGACATGTTGGGGGAACTACCTCCAGGACATAAATTTAATTTCTTTCCATAAACATGAATCTATACTGAGGTTTTTACAGAGAGAATAATAGTTCTGTCTTAAGTTAAATGGATGGTAGGAGAGCAGAGTGAGTTTAAAGTCAGGTGAACTTTGTGGAAGCTCTGTGGAAGAGGAGAATGGGCCCGGAGACTTCCCCTGAACTCGGCAGGCTTCACATTTGAAGTAGGATGCATTGTCATTTGCTGTGGGTTGCGTCAAGTTCCCAGGTAGACTTCGAGCTCTCTAAAGAAGGGGTTCCCATGCCCAGCCCTGTGTGCTTGGGGCCAGAGTTGATGGCTTTAGAAAGAAGTCAAAGGCAAGGGAAGGCGTGTGATGGGAGAAGGGACTGGGGAACGAGGATAGAGGAAATGAGGTGAGGAGGGTAGAGATTCATCAGGGAAAAGGCAGAGGGAGAGGTACCAGGCCTGGATGAAGACTTGGGTTGTTTTCCCATGCCTGCTGCAGCCAGGGGCAAATGCAGACCCCCATGGCACAGATGAATGGGGGATTTGGTTATGGGACCCTGCTTTTAGGTGACTATCTTTCCACTCCTGTAGGGAGGGGCCTGTATAGGCGAAGAATTCAGAGTGGGAGTCCCTGGAGCTGGCATCGGCCACAATGCCCTGGCATTTCGAGTCACAGATCTAAAGCTGCAGGACACGACTGTATGGATGATGGATGGAACAACTGTCATCCTCCGCTGACCTCAGCTAAGTCGTTTATTGACCTCTCAACTGTTCTCTAAGAAACAACTGTGGTGGGGTTGAGGACTTGAAAACCAAAGGCGTGACACACCTCTTGACCTTGACCATTAAACATTGTGTGGAGTTGCTTACCCAGTAACTAAGTCGTTCACAGCTTGTCTACTATCCTTCATGGGATTTGTAGAAAGGTCAGTCCTAGATGTCATGAAGCCCCAGAGGAAGAGGTGATTTCCCAGCATTCTCTCTGGTCTGAATGCTGACTGTGCAATCTGTGAGGCCCTAAGCATTAGGCTCAGACAAACATTATTTACGTTCAGCAAGAGAACCATTCCCCATTGTCTGCTTTTTTTCTGACACACATAAAACTGTACATTTAACTTCTGTTTACATATATATAAACCATATCGTTAGGAGTAGCCTGGGAAATGCTTGGTTGGAGATGAATTTTGCCCTTTGAAAACACAGGAGTGAGTGACAGCTGTATATTGTCTTATCAGAGGCGTGACACATGTGGTTTATTGGGACCAGGTGTTTCACAGAAGCCATTGGAGTGAAACTATAAACTTCTGGTTGACAAGTAAGGTGACAGCCCAGTTCTTTTTAGCAAAGGATTGCTTGCCAATATTGGCCTTCATGTGTGGAGCTATTGATGAAGCAATTGAAAATCTTCAGGTGCTCTGAGTAAGAAGCCAAGGGAGGCTAAAGATAACAGTTTGTGATGAACTTTGTGACAAGGTGATGTGGACTTGACCCCTAAGTGGACTAGAACGGTGGGTAAGAGGGAGCAGATCAAGATTTTGAGTCAAATTTGATCAAGTTCATTTTACATTTGATTCCTCACTGTTTACTTCAAGCCTATATCAACACTGGTAATTTCCTAACTGGTAGTGTGTGACTTGGGCAGGTCACCCTCTTAACCTGTATCCAGTGTATACTGAGCCTGAATCATGAAGTCTTCAGCTTGACTAGCTCCCTGAATGAAATGAGGTAAGAGAGATGGACGCATTTTAGTTTGCTTCCAAAGTTAGCGGTCATATGCTAGTTCACCAAACAGGGTTCTTTTTGTTAGATTTTTTTCTAACAGCACTATCCTCTCTACACCACCATTTACTTGCCCTTTGTGGATGACTTTGACTACTTCAGGGAGGCCTACATATTATTGAGATATAACTTGTCTGGTGTTAGCTGAGAATCATTAAGTTGCATTATTCCCTTCAGGATTATTTGCAGGATGAAGAGAGGGGCTAGAGCATGCTGTTTGAGAAAAAACTGAGATGCCCCTTGCTTCAGCTCATCCTTCGCTTAGGTATTTGCTTACGAGTACTTTGCCATGTTGTACAGTGCCTTCAAAGGACATGGTAGTGATGTGTACATCTGGGTGTGTTGACTTCAGACACGGCTTTACACCAAGGCTCTGAGGTAGCATTTGTTCTGGCAAGTATTTCTGAGTGCTTGTTGGTATTTTCCTGGGCCTGAGTTGGCTACGTGCTCTGATCTGTTTTTTTCTCCAAGATACACAGCTTGGAACTCGTCTTTTTTGTTTACTCCACTGGGCAGCACTAAACTTTGAAGAAGACTGGCTTCCTTCTCAGTCCAAAATAGAGACACAAAGATGACTGGAAAAACAACGTGAAGTAACTGAAACCATCCTCCTCCCTGCCGTTCAGGGTGAGTTTGATGGTGATGATGAGACAGTTAAACTTCAGCTTGTGCAGCACAAGATGTTTCTTCAGCCTGGACGAGTTGGCATTTTTCTCACACCCAGAACCCTGTGTGGTGGGGTGTGCTACCTTCCTAGGTGATGAGGCTGAAGTGTGAACGAGTTTTTGTGACTCCTGAACATTCTGATCCTAATGTCTGGGCTCATTTAGTTTGTTCTGGATTCTTCTAAGGATCAGCAAGGACTTTAAAATGAGTGATTATTACTCTCAGACAGTTGGTGGTTAAGTTTCTAAGCATTTCCACAGTAGTCCATGGCATTTCAGCAGGAATTGGTTTCTTATTGGGGGTGGTCTGTGATTGAAGTTGGAAACTTTTCAATGCATGATGTTTGAAGCCTCTCTGCCTCTTGGGTCTTCTTGTTTTTTTTTTCCTTTGACACCTCTGACTTCTCTCCACACCACAGTATTGCTGTAGGTCATTAGTTGCTGTGAGTATATATATATATATATATATATATATATATATATATATACACACACACACACACACACACATTTGAGCAAAACCTAAAGTTTTTGAGAAAATAATGAGAAATTCTGGATGAGCTTTCAGAAGTATTGTTACACTACTCAATAGGAATGGGATGTGTAAGTTTCTAGAAAACATTCTGGAGTTCAGCTTTGAGGGTGCTGTAGCTTGTTTGTGTAGGGTGGGGTGTGGGCAGTTCTGGAGCCTTTCTCACATGGCCCTGAATGGATTTCATTCAGGCCTGGGGACATATTGGCCCCTTCACTGGATCTACCCAGGAAGAACGCTACAAATGTGTTTGCAGCTTTTCTGCACACATGGAGCTTCACCATAGCTCCATCTCTCTAAAAATGCATTAAGAATAGGGATGTAGGAGCTCGAGTCCTATAAACCCAAATAATTGATTTTGGGGCAGGAGAAGCCAAGAGCTCCCATAAATATTGTATAAAATGTTGTACTGTCATCTTCTAGTAACCTCAAAACAGTGGAGAAGGACTGTGTGTGTGTGTGTGTGTGTATTAAGGTGGCTATGTACACATGAGAATAATTGCACGGTTGTATGAGGGTTAAATGTAGAGACCTATGAAGCTTAGTCTCCACTTACAATGCATAACCCAAATCCCATTATGTGGCTGCCTCCTACTGTGCACAGTGCTGCCAGGAAGTCAGACTGGAGTCTAGACATGTCATGAGACAGTCCCCTTGCTTTTCTTCTACGAGGTACCATGGCATTCTTGTAGTCTCCTACATAGAGTTGTCAATGAGATAACTGGTTCTTTTAGTCAACAATTCTCAGTCAGCATGTGCTCACATCTACCAATGTCTTTCCTCTGGGTTCATTTACTGAGTTGGACTTTCTGAGCAGGGACCCCGGTTTCCCAGGGAAAGCTGGAAAAGAAAAACAAAACAAAACAAAAAAACCCCAAAACACAATTCCTCCATTTCAGCACAACATTTAAAATTGGTTGGGAACTACTCAATTTGGAAACAGGGACTTTTTTTTTTCACCCCTTTGCATAAAATATGAAGGGAATGATGAGTTCAACAGAGACTCCGACACCAAGATTTAAATAAATAAGCTGTATTATCTGTACAAAAAATATAAATACAGTCTCGAGTTTTAGAGGAGGAAGGGCCTCCCTTCCACATTTATCCAGCAGCCCCGATAATTTGTGGCACTGCTGGGTCACGATTCACAGAACAAATATTAAATGTACGTTCATCTCACGCAAGGAGGCACTCTGCTTTCCGCTTCAGACCCAAGCTCTCCAACGTGTTTGGGAAGGCACTTCCAACCTCACATTCTGACGTGTGGCAGAGCTGGAAGACGCCTGCCCTTTAGGAAATTCAAACACTGACCACCAGTTTTTAATAGCTACTGAACTGATCAACCGTATTAGTGCTACAGGATTGGTGTTTGTTCCAATTGTAACTGGTGTCACAAGCAACCCGACTTTATTGTCCCCCATCCCGCACTAGCTTTTTATAATGTACTCTGTGTACACAGGGAAAAATGGATCAGAATTAAACACCAGTTTTGTTTCTTTTAAAATTAGGAAGAATACAATTATCACCACAGAGTTTTTAGGAACACAGCTGCAGGACATTAATAAAAATCCCCCAAAGAGTTTTTGTTTTTCTGAATGACAATGAACAATTACTAATATTGCACTTTTTATACAAGAAATCCTAATAAATATTCACAAAAGATATACATAGAAACACTCTCTTTTTATTTTAAATAAACATTACACTGATTTTTAGAAACACAATTTCTTAGAGCCTATTTTTGTAATGAGGAAGAGGCCCACCCTACTTGTCCATAGCACACCTAGAGAAGACACAGATTAACACCATCTGCCACACTTAACTTCCAGGACGGCTGGGAAATGCAGCCTTGATGTCAGCGGTGGCCCTGGGGTGGGAGCATTTGGTGAGTGTGTATGTGAGAGGTGGCTTATCTGAGCGGTCCTGGGCTCTGGCTGCCTGCTCTGCTAAACTAAGGCTGCTCAGGGAAGGAAGCAAATCTCAGCGTTGATGCTTCTCTGAGGAGTGAGGATTTGTCGAGGGCTTGTGTTTTAGCCGTCTCCACAGCTGATGTGTGTTGCTGGCTCGTGTGTGCTGCTTGGCCTGCTGAGTGGTCCGTTCGCCCATTCGCCCAGTCTGGTGTGCTAATTGCACAGGTGGATAGTATTTGTGTATAGTAGTTGCGTCGGGAGGATGACTGAAAAGCTTTGGAGGACCGTGCTGTGAGCCTTTAGCTAGCTTCTTGTTTTGCCATAGCATCCCATCCCCCCAACCCCCCCTCGGCCTGCTGTGGACACACGGCAGCTCTTCTGTGGTATAGGGAGGGCCCGCAGGCCCAGTGTGTGATGGCCTGGATAAATAAAGCACATTGTGGACATGCATAGCCCCTCTGTCCTACCCTGTTCCCTGACCAACTCCGGTGGGAAGATGTTTGCCAGCCAACAGATTGCCTAATGACTCCTTTGTGAGCAGTGATTCTAGTCCCCGACCTGACATGGAGCCGCAGAGTCATTCAGGTGGAAAACCTGGAGCGCTCGTGCTCAGATGCCAGGGGCCCACAGCAGCAGTTAGTTCAGGGCCAGCGACCCTTGATTTAAAATATGGAGATGCTGGGGCACAGCCTTACTACACAGCTAGACCCCGACACCCCTTGTTGGGTTTTCCACAGCTCCAGACACAAAGGTTCCTTGGTAGAGTAGGGAGTAAAGGCACACTCCCATAACCACAGGAAGGGCACACCTTCTATCACCCAGCACGGGTACCCTGAGAAGATGCTGAATACCCTTCCCACCTCTGCCTACCTACGGAACAGCGCACGTGCCAAGGCACAGGCCTGTCAGATGGGTTTCACGTGGCTGCTGGAAAATCTGTCCTGCCTGCTAGCTCCTCCCACTAAGGAGCATGCACAAGCTCTCTTCTCCTACCTCTTCCCTTCCTCTGTCTCTTGCATAACTGTATGCTGTCTGCCCCTTCTGCTGGTCTGCTTTCTTGGTCCCTCCCCCACCCGCCAACACACACCCCAGAAGAACTGGATTCTGGCCTGGTTTCTCCTCTAGCATGGTGTTTCCCTTGTTCTTATCGTCACACCACCCAGGAAAACAAAAGAATGACACTCCTGGCTGGCCTGTGCCTGTACCTATGTGTTATAAACCCCAGTTCCTTGCTGTCCCTATGCACTATGGCTTTCTCTTCCTGTGTCTCTGAGACCCTGATTGGGAAGGAGCCAGCTCTACAAAGGAGCTGCTGTCTGCCTGGCCTGCTCTGCCACCTCCTGTAGACATCTCTCTTTCTGTTCTCAACGCTTGTTCCAGCTAACTGAATAGGAAAACATGCCAAGGTCCTTAGGAGCGTGGGTGCAGGTGGACACGGGTGTGTGGGGAGGGGCAAATAAATAAATAAAAGGAAGAAAGCATAAGTCAAGTCCAAGGTGGCTGCATGAGTCCTTTGTGTGGCCAGGGTAGAGTTCATCCCTGTGCTCTGTCTTCATGCTTTGCCGCATGTTCCGCAGCAGCGAGATCGGAACTGGCCCAGCTGGCAGAGTTTCAACTGTCTCACCTTCTCGCAGTACCTGGTGGTGTCTCTGCACTCAGCTGGGAAAGCAGGGGGAGGGGAGGAGGGGGATAGAGAGGAGATGTGAGACCGAGGCTCATGGATGCAGCTGCTGCTGAGCAGCCTAGCTGCCTGGCAAGATGCCGGCGGGGTCTACCCTGCTCGTGGTTCTGCAGCTCCTTTGGACAGCCTTCCCTTGGGCAGAGCTCAGCCACGCCCCCTTCCCCACCAGCCTGCAGCTGTCTGGTGGATGGATGGGGCCGATCTCAGGGCTGCCTTTGCTCCTGATAGCCTCTTCTACTACAGAACGGCAGTTTTAACCCCCTCCGCTTGGGATAACCTCACATCCTTGCTCGCTGTTTTCCCCATGTGGTTTTTGGCATTTTAGCGAGAGATGCTTCCCAGGGGACAGAGTTCTGTTCCTTGTGAGAGAGCATACAGGCGAGGACCTGGCTGAAGGTTCACATCCTCAGGTGCTTGGACCCCACCTCCCCTACTCAGCTTTCTTTTCTCTACCCAGGCCTCTTGTTCTTCAGCTTGTCTGGCCTTCCGGACATTGCAGTTCTTAAAAACTGGTGTGGCCTGGTTCTGGTAAGCTTTTTAAAACTCCTTGCACCGCATACCGGTACTTTTCTGAATATGGCAACCGTCAGACAGGGACACCAGCACTTCACCACAGAGAAAGGTTCATACAGCTCCCAGTAGGCTGAAAGGGAGGGGCCATCTGCCTCAGTGTGGGGACCTGATTGCTCACTGGTGTTCATTGAGGGGGGGTATTGGACTCTTACACTTATTTTTTATTGTCTATTCTTTGCAAAGATTTATCATCACCTTTTGTGAGGAAATAGCTCCAGTTTGGGCTTGGGGCTCTAAGGAGGAGAGACTAGATCCCTACCTGATTAGAATACAAATACTGGTATGGGGCTGAGGGGCTCCAGACCCAAGGGTGGAGGGAATGGAATGGCTGTCAGAACCCACGGTCTCCAGTTCCATTCCAGTGGATGCTCACGGGCTGGGAGGGAGGGGGGTCAGCAGGTCCTTGTTTGGTGTGAAGCCGAACAATGTGGGTGTAGAGCTGGCTGAGTGGCAGACATTCTGCGTGCTTCTTCAGTGCTAACAGTGTTCTGGCTTTAGTAGCCTGGTCCCTGGGAACCATATTTAGTCTTCCCCTGTGGGCACCAGCCGGGTTGACTGCCGGTGAGTTGGAGGCCAATTTTATCCAGCCCTTGGCTCTCTCTGAGCTCATGATGAAGACAGTGGAAGCCCCTGGGATACATCCTGGCATCTTTTGTGGCCTGAACACTGCACACACATCCTTGCACACACCCATGTACCCCATTTAAAATGTTCAATTCTGGCCCCAGCTCACAATCCTTAGGGGACTTGATCCATGGCCCTGTGTTCAGGCTCAGTCCCAGGGACTGCCCTCTGTACCCGATGACCCGTGGGGAATTTGCAGAATGTTCTTTGGGATTGGAACGTACTGTTTTCACATGGAGTGATGTTGCAGCGTTGCCAGTTGGCAGGCCGGGGCCCCCAGGAACACAGGTGCTCAGGCACAGCCTTGTTGGTACGGGCGTGGACACATTCCACCCGCCGGGACTGGAAGCCATAGTTGCCACAGGTCGCCGTACACAGGGTCCATAGACTGACCCTCCAGTGTACACTGCAGGCCTCTGACCAGCAGTTTTGGGTGCTCACAGGCCTGTAGGAGGAGAGTGGCAGGGTTAAGGTCTTGTCTCTGTGGGAACTAGGTTTGAAAACCAACTACAGACCCAGAGAAGTAGGTAAGTTGGGATCTTGCTCTCTGCTTGTGAATGAGTGAATGGGCATGAGCCTTTAGGTGGCCAGTCTGCTGAGAATCTATATCTGTTGCGGATATTCCTTTACACCATGTGAAGATGTGTCATTGTGACTGGTTTAATAAAAAGCTGAATGGCCATTAGCTAGGCAGGAATTGGTTAGGCAGACTTCTGAGGACAGAGAGCTCTGGGAAGAAGAGATCTAGTATATCCCCTTGTAGATGATTCCTTTCATAAGATGAGCTTGTGAAGCTCTTGTGGTCTGATGGCCATGGTCTAAGCATCTCTTGTTCACCTAGAGATTGGTGTGGATCTCTCGTGAAATCAGACCTCCCTAATGAACAACACTTATGTGTGCTTCATCCCCGAGAGAAGGAAGCCCAGCCTGGCTCATTCAACAAACACAGGGCACTGCTTGCAAGAGACTAAGGACTTGGGGTAAGATGGAAGAGGGCAGGACGGCTGACTCTCTGTGGAAGACTGGAGTAGCAACAGCATTCTTCACCATGGCTTTTTGTGCTGTTGATCCTGGGGCTGGGTAGAGGATGACCAGGGCTTTGTCTTACCTGGGGAGAGCGCTGCACTGCTCTGATGGTAAGGCGATGCCATCCCTGGTCTGGCAAAAGACTTGTCTGTGTTGCACAGCAAGGCGAGGGCCGATGCAAGGTCCATTGCACTGGGAGGGAAAAAGGAGATGCATAGCGTGTTATCTATGTCCAAGGTGGAAGCTGCAATGCTCAGGCTACTCGAGGCAGGAACACTGAGTAGGATCTCATTAGATCTGTAGATTCTCTTTCCCTTCTTTGTTGACCAAATAGCAGGTACCCACTGGCATGTGCTTTATGCTATAGTCTGTGGGCATTTCGCTAGCAAGTGGCCAGGAGAAGTGTAGCTTAAACCACAGAAGGCTGACCTAGATTAACCCAAGAAAGACTTTTGTCATGTGCTGGGATTGTGGTGGTATGTTTCAGAAGAATTCTCAATACCATATCAGATAAAATTGATCATTTTAACCTCTTAAAATAACTTTTTGTAAATTATAGTACATGTGAGTAAAACAAAATATTTAGTGGTGAAACCTGAGAAGATGAATCTAGAGGCTGCATGGTGCTATCCCCACCTTAGACGGGACCTGTTGCTGGGTTAACATGCTGTTGACCCTCTTGACATCTATTACTGTTTTTGTCTAAGAGACTCTGAAACTTATGTGCCCCCAGTTGTATATGGGCAAAGGAAAAGCATACAAACAAAATATACCATGTAGTAGCCTGCCTCCACTCACTCCTCCTCTCCAGACACAACTGATACCAGGATAAAAAATTGACTGTTCATCTGGTTTTGATGATTAGTAGCTTTATAATTATAATCAATGAAAATAGTCCTGCTACAAGCATTTGGTGTGTGCTGCTTCATGCTTCCAGCATGCATCTTTGTTGGGTATGTGTTCATGGCATGCATATGTCCATATTTAAGAGGCATCGTCTACTCTGGGCTACGAGTCCATTTGCCCATTTTCTTCTCCAGTCACAGGTTTAAATCTCTGGAATTTCTTCAATGGTTATTTAGTTTAGACATTGAGCATTCTATTAAGTACATACTTGTATCTTATCTTGGCTTGATTTGTAACTATTGTCTACTAAAACTATTACATTTTTATTGGATAATTTTTCACTTTGATAAAGTCTTCCCCACTTTTGTACCTTATTCCTTTAGAGTCAGCTATTTTATATGTTTCTTGTGTGTTTTAGACATGTCCCTTGCTTGTCTAGGGGTTTTAATTGTAATCGTTTTCTCTTTTACGAAGTTCACCCCATTCATTCAAATGATGTCTTCCCATAAAGCCCAGACTTTGACTTAGCTCAATTTATTAATCACAATCATGTTTTGTGTTGATTTTATATAAATTATTTTGTTTTATATAATTAGTCTGACATATATGGTCACTTATTGCTTAATGATGGAGACACATTTGAATTTTTTACACTTTTTTTATTATATATTTAAATTAGAAACAAGCTTGCTTCCCATGTGAGTCCTAGCTCCCTCTCCCTCCCCTCCACGCCAACTCCCTCCCTCAGCCTCCCCAGTCCCCCACCATTCCCCACTCCATTCCCCAGGGAGGGTAAGGCCCTCCATGGGGGATCTCTAGAGTCTGTCATTTCGTCCCCAAAGTGTCCAAATTGAGAAAGCATCCCTCATTGTGGGATGGGTCCCCAAAGTTCATTTGTGTGCCAGGGATAAATATTGATCTACTATCCCAAAACCCCATAGATTGCCTGAGTCTCCTCACTGACACCCACATTCAGGGTGTCTGGATTAGTCCTAGGCTGGCCTCTCAGCCATCAGTCTGAGGTCCAAGATCTCCCCCTTGTTCAGGTCAGCTGATTCTCTGGGATTCACCAGCTCAGTCTTGACCCCTTTGCTCATCACTCCTCCCTCTCTGTCACTGGGTTCCAGGAGTTCAGTTCAGTATTTAGCTGTGGGTGTTTGCCTCTGCTTCTGTCTGTTACTGGATGGAGGCTCTAAGATGGTATGTAAGATAGTCGTCAAAATCATTATCAGAGAGGAGCATTTAAAGTAGTCTCTCCACTATTGCTTAGTTTGCCAGTTGGTGTCATCCTTGTACCTCTCTGGAGTTCTCATTAGTGCCAGATCTCCCCTCAAACCTAGAATGGCTCCCTCTATTATGGTATCTCTCATCCTGCTCTCCTCTATTCTTCCCCCAATTCAACTTTCCTGCTCCTCCATGTCCTCCTCTCCCTTCAGCTTGTCTCCCTCTCTTTTTCCTGGCTCCCTTTCCCTTCCCCCACCCTGTGCTCCCAATCTGCTCAGCAGACCTTGCCTCATTCCACCTTCTCTGGGGTACCATGTATATCTCTCTTAGGGTCCTTCCTGTTTCCCTGCCTCTCTGGCAATGGGATTGGAGACTGGCACTCCCTTGATTCATGTCTAACATCTATATATGAGTGAGTACATACCATGTTTGCCTTTTTGTTGCTGGGTTACTTCTCTCAGAATGATTTTTTCTAGTGCCATCCATTTGCCTGCAAATTTCAGGATTCCATTTTTTTTCTGCTGAATAGTATTCCATTGTGTCAATGTACCACATTTTCTCTATCCACTCTTCAGGTTGCTTCCAGGTTCTGGCTATTACAAGTAGTGCTGCTATAAATATAGTGGAACAGATGTCCTTGTATGAATGTGCATCTTTTGGGTATATGCCTAACAGTGGAATTGCTGGGTCTTGTGGTAGACTGATTCCCATTTTCTTGAGGAAACAATTTATTAATTGTTGATGTCAGTGTCTGTGCTACTGGTGTTATGCTCAGGAAGCAGTCTCCTGTAGCAATTCGTTCAAGGGTACCTCCCACTTTCTCTTCTAACAGGTTCAGTGTGACTGGATTTATGTTGAGGTCTTTAATCCATTTGGACTTACGTTTTGTGCATGCTGATAGACAGGGATCTATCTGCAATCTTCTACATGCCAGCATCCAGTTATGCCAGCACCATTTGTTGAAGATGCTATCTTTTTTCATTGTATAATTTTAGCTTCTTTGTCAAAAACCAAGTGCATGTGTGGGTTAATATCAGGGTTTTCTATTTGATTCCATTGGCCTACCTGTCTATTTTTGTGCCAATACCAAGCTGTTTTCAGCACTATAGCTCTATAATAGAGCTTGAAGTCAGGGATGATGAAGTCTCTGGACATTGCCTTGTTGAACAGGATGGTTTTGGCTAACCTGGGTCTTTTGTTTTTCCATATAAAGTTGAGAATTGTTCTTTCAAGGTCTGTGAAGAATTGTGCTTTCAATGGGGATAGCATTGAATCTGTAGGTTGCTTTTGGCAAGATTGACATTTTTACTATGTTGATCCTACCTATCCAAGAACATGGGAGATCTCTCCATTTTCTGGTGTCTTCTTTAATTTATTTCTTTAAAGACTCAAAGTTCTTGCGATACAGGTCTTTCACTTGTTTGGTTAGGGTTACCCAAGGTATTTTATGTTGTTTGTGGCAATTGTAAAGGGTGATGGTTCTCTGATTTTATCAGCCCTTTTATCATCTGTATATAGTAGGGCTACTGATTTTCTTGAGTTGCTCTTGTATCCTGCCACTTTGCTGAAGGTATTTATCAGCTTTTGGAGTTCCCTGGGAGAATTTTTTGGGTCACTTATGTAAACTATCATGTCATCTGCAAGTAGTGAATGTTTTACCTCTTCCTTTCCAATTTGTATTCCCTTGATCTCTTTTTGTTGTCTTATTGCTCTGGTTAGAACTTCAAGTACAATATTGAAGAGGTATGGAGAGAGTGGGCAGCCTCGTCTTGCTCCTGATTTTAGAGGAATTGCTTTGAGTTTCTGTCCATTTAGTTTGATGTTGGCTGTTGGTTTGCTGTATATAGCCTTTATTTATTTATTTTTGTTTTTTATTTTAATTTTAAATAGCTTGTTTTACATGTCAATCCCAGTTCCCTCTCCCTCCCCTCCTCCCGCATTCCCCCCCCCCATCCTCCCACCCTATTGTCAATTCCTTCCGCATAGGGGATATCTAGAGTCTATCATTTCACTCAGGGTAGGGTCCAGGCACTTCCCTGAGAGTCCAGGCAGAGAGAGCAACCCTCTTTGTGTTATGGACACACGATGTCTGTTAGTATTTGAGGGATAAACACTGATCCACTGCTCAGGACCCCATAGGTAGCCCAGGCCTCCTCACTGACTCTCACATTCAGGGGGTCTGGATTGGTCCCATGCTGGCCTCCCAGCTGTCGGTCTGTGGTCCAAGAGCTCTCCCCTGTTCGGATCAGCTGTCTCTTCTGGTTTTGCCAGCCCATTCTTTGCCAATTTGCTCATCGCTCCTCTGTCTCTGTCGCTGGGTTCCTTGGGTTCTGTTCAGTATTTAAATGTGGGTGTTTGCCTCTGCTTCCATCAGTCACTGGATGAAGGCTCCAGGATGGTTATAGACATCAAGTTCACTATCAGGAATGGGCATTCGAGGTGGTCTCTCCACTATTACTTAGCTTACCAATTGGTGTCATCCCTTTAGATCACTAGAGGTCACAATGGTGCCTGATCTGTCTTCTAACCTATGATTCCCTCTTCCCCCTATCCTACCCCCCCAGTCAACCTTCCTGCTCCCCCTGACCTACTCTCTCTTCCACTTCTCCCCCTCTCTATTTCCCAGGTCCCCCTGCCCCCCACCCCTCGCCGTGTTCCCCATCTGTTCAGAGGATCTTGCCTCATTTCTCTTCTCTTGGGTACCATGCATATCTTTTAGGTTCTTTCCTGTTTCCCAGACTCTCTGTCAGTGGAAGTGCAAACTGGCACTCTCCTGATCCATGTTTAAAATCCATATATAAGTGAGTACATACCATGTTTGTCTTTTTGTGACTGGGTTACCTCTCTCAGGATGGTTTCTTCCAGTGCTATCCATTTACCTTCGAATTTCAAGATTCCATTGTTTTTTTCTGCTGAGTAATACTCCATTGTGTAAATGTTCCACATTTTCTCTATCCACTCTTCAGTTGAGGGGCATCTAGGTTGCTTCCAGGTTCTGGCTATTACAAATAATTCTGCTATGAACACAGTGGAGCAGATGTCCTTGTTGTATGAATTTGCCTCCTTTGGATATATGCCTAAGAGTGGAATTGCTGGGTCTTGTGGTAGATTGATTCCCATTT